TAAAATTTATGCATCGTGGAAGAGCAATTTCTTTCCCCTATGTAAAATTGTAATAAATGTACATTTCGCCCCATACAAATAAGTTGATATTTAGTTGCATTAGCATTTTAGATTAAGAGAATATTTTTTATTCTGCAATGATAGAATAGAAGAACAAAAAACATGAGTATCATTTATCAAAATTAAACTATTGAACAAAATCTGTTTCAGTTTGCGTTGGCATGTTCATTTTGCATTAATCTAACATATAATATTCAATTTCTTTGAAATCGTTTCTAATTAAATCGTCTAAATGCATTAGACCTAAATTAATGTTAAATGTTTGCTATACGTTTTGCAGTGATCTGTTAAGACCTAACATAATATGGAAATAAAAAATGTAAAATATCAGAATAATAAGGATAAACATGAAATACATGTAGGTATAGGTCTTATAGCTAGGACTTACACATCTCCCTGGAATATAGTCAAAAGCCCCCCATCTAAAATGACACAGTGGACAACCCCCCCCACCCCCTTCAAAATATACATATAGGACGTAAGACTCTCTGCGCTGGTCCAAAATCAAATTTACATATAGGGGGACCTTAAACCTTTTCATCTACATTTCCTTTAGTTTTGTAACTTGTGTGCATGTTTGTATTGACAGTTGTGTTTGTTTATTAAATTTTCTTCTGATCATATACCCTCATTCAGTGTTATCTTTACAATTATGTAATCTTGCTGGATGAAAAGGAAGAATACAAAGAAACCATATATCAACACCAGATAAATAATCTATTATGTATCTTGTATAAAAAAAGTAATATTAAAGTCTCTTTTTGTGAAACTACAATGGCAAGAAGGCTTAGATATTTGCCATGTATCTTTGCTAAGTTGACATCTACAAGAATCTTCTCTAAAATAACAATGCCCAGAAGCTTAGGTATTTTGCATGAAGCATCGCCTTGTGTAATAAATCATGCCCACTGGGGTCAAAACTGGCCACCCTGGGTGTCACTTAGTTTATATAGATTACATAGTAAACTTGGTTAATTTAACTTATATATTAAAACAATTAATTAATTAAGTCTTTTTCTGTGTGAAACTACATACCACAAGCTTTTTGTAGCAGACATATACAAATATTTAAAAAAGTTTATGCAGCCTTGAAAAAAAAAAAAAAGACAAACCCACTTTGGCTACATTACTGGCTTTGATCCAACATGAATCTTAGGTGAGGCATCCAGGGCCATCATGACCATCTTGTTTAAAATTTTACTTTTACTTTTCACTAATTGTTAGTTTAAATGGCCAAATAAATTTACTTTGAATATAAGTGTTACACTTTCTTTACTGAATGGAAGGAGCATCAGGATGTCTATTTGGTGATAACTGACAGATTCACACTTACACATTAATCAATACCTACACTAATACTGATAGTACACGCAAGTCATTATATATTGATTATTAGTACATGTATACTGTTAATAGTACAGCTGCGTGATAGATGTGCTAATTTGTGAATAAAGACTGTTATCTGATAATTTGAAGGCCAATAAACCTAAATTACATGTATTCTTCTGATTTATGAAATTCAGAATTTGGTAAAATATATGAATATATTTTCATACTAAGTGTACAATGATGATAAATAAATCTTTTAAAGAAGGTTTATGTTAAAATTTACACCTGAAGAAATGAGCAAGTTTTGGATAATAAATAGATTAAATGCTGTGAGGTACAAATAGGAATCATATCTGAATTTTGTGCAGCAAATCTCAGCTCAGCCAGAGATGAATCTTAGCTATTCTATTCTATAATCAATATCTAGGTTACTGATTATAGTAACCCAGTCAATATACATGCACAGGTGACTTTCACAATCTGATTTGTGTATTACTCTTCTGTTTTGCAAAATGTATTGTCTCACAACTTAATACACAGCCCTACTCTTTATTATGGTACAAGCCTTATTGAACACATTAAAGTGAAAATTTAGCGCTTTGGAAACTTATATAGGGGTAGAGCTTCAGTTTCTTATGTTGAGCTTTTATGTGGGTTTGAATCCCATGAGATTATCTTTTGACTTCCACAATCCGCAATGTTGCTGTAACTCAGGTTATCACACGCAGTAGTCAACTGGCATGACCTTATATTTAAAGCACATGTCTAGGTCTCCCCCACTCTGTTTGACATTTCATGGAAAAACAAAGAAACAAACAATACTTATAGACATCATATTATGTTATTGCTGCATGCATATGATTGTATGAGTTTTTAATGTTTTTATGTATTCTGTTGTTTATGTAAAGGCTGGTGGTTTGATTATACTTTATCACATTATTATTATACAATATCTTTAATGGACCAGTCCAGCTCTCAATCTAGGCAAAATTATTAAAACTTGGAAAGTTCCTCTACTGGCTCAAAATTTGCCGTAGAGGCCCATTATCAGAATGTTTTGAAACTGCTTTGAATGCTGTTTTTGTGTCGCCTTGAAAAGGTAACATATAGGGGTTACTTTTGTCGGCGGCGTCTGTGTCGGCGGCGTCGTTGTCGGCGTCCCCTAAAGCTTGTCCGGAGCATAACTCAGTCACTATAAGTCTGATTGACTTCAAACTTGGTATGCATGCTTCTTTCAATAACCCGAAGTGCAGTGCACAAGGACCGGTACTCTGCAGTTCTTATTTTTTGAGTTATTGCCGTTAGTTAATTTTCATACTTTAATTTTGTCCGGGCCATTTCTCTTCAAATAAAAAAGCTATGGACTTGAAACTTCATAGGATGATAGATCTCATTAAGAAGAAGTGCAGTGTGTAAGAACCCGTACTCTGCACTTCCTAATTTTTGAGTTATTGCCCTTTGTTAATTTTCATACTTTATTTTTGTCCGGGCCATTTCTCCTAATGTATAAAAGCCATGGACTTGAAACTTCATAGGATGATAGATCTCATTAAGAAATAGTGCAGTGCATAAGAACTGATACTCTGCATTTCTTATTTTTTGAGTTATTGCCCTTTGTTGATTTTCTTATTTTATTTTTGTCCTGGTCATTTCTCCTCAAGTATGAAAGCTATGGACTTGAAACATCATAGAATGATAGATCTTATTGATAAGAAGTGCAGTTCACAGAAACTGCTGCTCTGCACTTATATTTTTTTTAGTTATTGCCCTTTGTTTTTTTTCCTATTTCATTTTTGTCCTGGCCATTTCTCCTAAACTACATTGTTCACAAGGCGACACATCCGACTCGCGGAGTTCTAGTTTGGAAAGATATATTGGAAATAAAATTATTTTATTAGAATCAATAATGTCAACAACATCAGTTTTAGTGCAATTAGTAGGTTTCAAGTGTGCTTTTGTGGCCTGTGGGATGTGCTAAGTATATTAATGATCGGCATACTTGTAACATACATATTTGTGTAAATGAAATGTAACTACACCTAGCTAACTACACATATGTTTCTACTTAAAGGATGTCGGGAACTGGTGATGTTGGACAAGATGCACAAACAAAGGTAATTAATTTATTTTTCTACAGCCTTTTACATGTATTTTAATTTTTGAAGTTTTATGTTTTTTAAAAAGGTACATTTAGGCTTGACTGTTTGAGGAATAGCTACATTGTTCTCCTCAGGCACCTGACTGGCCAAGTATTTAAAGCAGCATGCCTTCAGGCTCATGATAAATTATTTTCATGAAATTTTTGAAAAATAAAATATTGAGAAGTGAACAAAAAATAATTTACACATTAGATTGCAAACATAACTTGCAATTCACATAACATACCGAAAAGAGGTAAAAATAAATGAAAATAGCCTTTACTTTGTTAGTATCACAGTGTAAGTAACACAGTAGCAATATGGTGATAAATACTGCAAAATCAATCAATTATCTGGAGACATGCAGCTTTAAACCAAAAAATGATATATTTCCTTGCCCTGACTTAATTGTAACTCATTATAAAACTTGCTTTTTTGCATCTCATTAGCATTTGAATATACATCATTCACTTGTTTGGTCCTCATTTGGCATACACATGTCATAAACTATAAGAAAAAAAATGAAATGAAACGAAAATTCCATATTTCTTCTACTTCAGACTTCTGAGGAAGGTGACAAAGAAAATCTAGTAATGAACGGTGTTGATAAAGATGATGATCAATCAAATTCTAATGAATTATCTCAGGATGGAAGCAAAAATGAGCCCCAGAAAACGCTTAAAGATGAAAGCCAAATACGTAGTAATAGTGATGGAAATCCAGTTTTAGGTGACAATTTAGATCCAGCTGTCAAGGAAGAGACCTCAAGAACTAACTGTAATCATGAACATTCACAAGAACAAAATGAAACTGATAAAACAGAAGAGGGTAATTCTAGTGAAAACAAAACAGAGACTGAGGAAAAAGAAGAATTTATGGATATTCTTGGGAATGGAACACTTCTAAAAAAGGTATTCTTTTGGGGGTTCTTTATTTACTTTAGAAGACATAATGACATGTTGTTTTTTAGCTCACCAGAGCCGAAGGCTCAGGGTGAGCTATAAGTATCAAAGGGGGATACCCCGGCATCTGTCGTCATGCGTCAACAATCGTCTTCTTCTCTGAAACTGCTGGACAGATTTACTTCAAATTTGGTCTGTAGCATCCTTGTGACAGTGACACTTGAATTTGCTCATTTCATTTCTATTGGCCCCTTTTAGGGGTCAACAGAGCTAAAAAAAAGAAAAACCTTTAAACATCTTCTTCTACAGAACTAATTGATAAATGATCACCAAACTTTGACGTAGCATTCTTGGGTAGTCTTTTATCAAGTTTGCTCATATTAATTTGATTGGCCCCTTTTAGGGGTCTCTAGGGCTAAAAATAGAAAACCCTTAAGACATCTTTCGTCTACAGAACTAATGGATGGATGATCACCAAATTTTGTCTGAAGCATTCTTGTGTAGTCTTTCATCAAGTTTGCTCATATTAGTTTGATTGGCCCCTTTTAGGGGCTGCTAAAGCTAAAAATAGAAATACCTTTAAACATCTATATCCAAAAAACTAATTGATGGATGATCATAAACTTTGTCTGTAGCATTCTAGGGTAGTCTTTCATCAAGTTTGCTCATATTAATTTGATTGGCCCCTTTTAGGGGTCTTTAGGGATAGAAATAGAAAAAACCTTTCAACATCTTCTTCTATAAAACCTTTAAACATCTTGTCTGTAGCATTCTTAGGAAGTCTTTTATCAAGTTTGATCATATTAATTTGATTGGCCCCTTTTAAGGGTCTCTAGGGCTAAAATAGAAAAACCTTTAAACGGCATCTTCTATAGAACTAATTGATGAATGATCACCAAACTTTGTCTGTAGCATTCTAAGTAGTCTTTTATCAAGTTTGCTCATATTAATTTGATTGGCCCATTTAGGAGCTGCTAAAGCTAAAAATAGAATACCTTTAAACATCTTTATCTAGTGAACTACAATGTAATTGATGGATGATCACCAAACTTTGTCTGTAACATTCTTGGTTAGTCTTCTATCAAATTTGCTTTTACACTGGAGCCGCGATATAGCGCTCATGTTGGGGTCCATGATCTCAAGACAGCGTTGTAACGAGTAACTTTTTATAACGCTCATTTTGTAATTATAGCGAAATATGAATGAATGTTTGTAAATTTCCAGTAAAATAGCGGTGTTAACGTGAGTAATGTGTGGTCATGAAAATTGATACCTAGTGGATGGGACTAAATTAATTGTCTTTCCTGCTGTCTCTTGTGAAAAAATCAGTCATCCTCAACAACTTTTTTGCAGATAGATCGAAAGTGCATGCTTTTTAAAATTAATTGTACGCTTGGGTGATTTACTTAACTCGTCGGTGTTTGCATATCTTAGCTAACAGTTTGATACCTGACTGATCAACAGATCAAAATGAACAAAAGAGCGGATTAACGCTTACCTGTGTATGACTTCACACCTTCTTATCATGAGTGACGTAATTATGACTGTTTATTGCACTCGACTGACACATTAAACAAGCGTTATAGTGGATAAGGTGCGGTATTGATATACATAAAAAAAAAATATAATCGGCGGAAAAAAAAGACTTTTTTTGGGGAGCAAAGGCATATGAGTGTTATACTGAGATTAGCGCTATACCGAAGAGCGCTATATCGCGCCTCCAGTGTATTAATTTGATTTGATAAAATAGAAAAACCTTTGAACATCATTTCTTACTGAAATAATTGATAGATGATCACCAAACTTTGTAGCATTATTAGGTAGTCTTTTATCAAGTTTGCTTATATTAATTTGATTGGCTCAAATTTAATATCAGAAAATATTGACAATGGATAATATCCAACACTGAAAAGCAGTTGTTTCTGGTGAGTGACTCAGGGCCATCATGGCCCTCTTGTTTTTGTTTGTTTTTCTAGATTTTATTTTTTCTTTCAACCAGTATATCAGCCATCTATATGCATCTACGGAGTAGTAGGACATATAGGGATCACTTCTCCGCCGTCTGTCTGTCTCTGTCCGTCACAAAACTTGTCCGGACTACTCCTCATAAACTACTGGTGCAATTTCATCCAGACTTAACAGCAGGGCCGGCAAAATCAATTGTCCGAGTTGCCCGAGTCGTATAATTGTAGGTCCGGGCAAGTAAAATTCTGCAGTTTACTTGTCCGTGGACAAGTAAATTTTGGCGGCTAAAAGAGGAATTCTGAAGAAAAAAATCTAGTTCTTTTCTAATGGATCTAAATCAGAAGGAAAATCACACATTTACATGTAATACGAAAACTAGCATGTCATTCGTGAGGGCATTCCGTGCATATTAGAGTGTTACTTATAATTTAAAGTGTTTATATAAATAGCGACCAACCAAGCTTGGGGTTTTTCTTACGTCATGCAGTTACTGCATGTGCGCGGCAATCAACTAATTATTGAACCTATCAAGGTCAGTATGTGGGGTACATGTTTGTTTTGGTTTATGACTACCGACTTAGCCTCTGCAATAAAATATTTCCGGTAGCAACGGGGATTCTGCCATAAAATTGACTTGGAAGCTGTGCTCGTTTCAAGAGCATTTATTGTTCAGATAGCAGACACAGCATCAATCTCCCAACAATTGTCTTTGAAATACCGCTGTGTTGTCACATGAAAACTAAATACATAGTATAATTTTTCCAGGTCATTCGGGAATATTTACGCAAAATAAGTTGAATCACATTCGGCAATTTGACTGCTTAAATTTATGTGGACAAAGTCATTTTATGATTTATTTTATGTAAAGATTTCTTGTGAAAATGCCTTTGTTTTTGAATGTCTAATACTGGTGTTAATGTATACATGTCAGTTTCATCGTCGCCAAAGATAATGATGTCAAAATTTTCACAATTCATCTGCTGCAACCAAGTGTATATACTAAGGGTGTAACGGTTTACCGGTATACCGATATATTGCAATATGAAAAAATAAATTTCGAACCGCGGTACGATTTTTGGAAAACCGGTATTTTATAAAAATCATCATTTTCAATTAATTGCCTTCTAATTTTGTACAAATTTCACATAAAATCTTTAATTGGCAAAGTTTGTTGGCGCCAACGTAAGATAAAAGTATCCGACAACTAGTACACTTAAAAGTCAATAAGCGGCCGCATAATTTACATAAGCTGCCCATATGTGAAAGGTCACACGCGACTAGTTTTGTTTATCAAATTGTGTGACACTACTTTCTATTTATTCCTTACATTTTTATTAAGTTTCTACTAAAAGTATATACATATAATAATAATTAAAAATGTTACTCCATCTTTACATCAAAACATATACACGACAATACGTATTGCAATATATCGCAATACGCTTCAGCAAAATGGCAATATATTGCAATACGGTTTTTGCTGTATTGTTACACCCCTAGTATATACGTATATGATATTACATTCTAAGACAATCATAATTATATCATTAAAAAAGCCAGATGTCATCAATTTGACAAATCTAACTCAAGACTACATATGATTTTTTTTAACAGGATTCAAATGAATATTATATAGATGAATAGAATAAGGAGTGAATAAATAACAAATGGTACCAGAGTGCAAAAAATAAAGACATATTTTTAGAGCAATTTGGGTGCAAGTGACACAAGGAAAACTGTAAAAGACCAATGCTCCTTCCAGTAACATATACACAATTTGTCCATCACTGCCGTTCTACTTTAATCTACTGCCGTTAACATTTTATAAATATAAATTATATTATAATCATAATATATTGTATCATTAAACATATGGCACAGAATGTTTAATAAAATTGAAAAAAAGTTCATAATCATATTGCTCTTCTTTATTGACATTTGCAGTAAATATTAAATATATATTTTACGGACAAGTGAACATTGAGTACGGACAAGTAAATTTCTTAGGTTACTTGTCCGTGGACAAGTACAATTTTTTGAGATTTTGCCGGCCCTGAACAGGAATGATCAGTACCAAGTCTAGTTGTGCATATTTTCAGCATTTTCCAGTTCAATGATTTTGTCAGAGTAATGGCCCTTTAATAATATTTTTATTTTTAAAGTTTGTCCGTACAACTTCTGTTATACCGCTTATGCAATTTCAATGAAACTTTATAGGATTGATCTGTAGCTCAAGTCCTTGCGCATATTGCAAGGGTTTTCCAGTTGAATGATTTTTGGCCGAGTTATAGCCCTTTGATAAAAAGGTGTTTTTTTCTGTGTGTTGCCAGATACACAAAACTTGTCAGGACTACTCATAAACTACTGGTGCAATATCATCCAAACTTTACAGGAATTATCAGTATCAAGTCTAGTTGTGCATATTGTCACCATTTTCAGGTTCAATGATTTTTGTCAGAGTTATGGCCGTTTAATAATTTTTATTAAAGTTTGTCTGGACGATACACAAAAGCTTGTCCGGACTACTTCTCATAAACTACTGGGGCAATTTTATCCAAACTTTACAGGAATGATCAGTACCAAGTCTAGTTGTGCATTGTCTGTCCGTCTGTCACAAAACTTGTCCCAACTTGAAATTGGCCATCATGAGCAACACATGTGATCACTGATCACTCTAGTATATACATAGCTGCATCTCGCAACAGATATTTGTGGAATTTAGTGATAAAAAATTTATGGCATTTTTTTGCGGTCCACTGCGAAATTACTCGCTTTATATCCAAGACCCAAATTGTAGCAACCACACCAGTGTGGGTCTTGCGTGTCATGCACTGTAGTTCATATGATAAAAAAAAAGCAAAACGCTTATAATTTCATAAAACTGTATTGATTCCAAAGACATTTAACTTCATTTCTCTATCGCCCTGACAAACTCTTAAGGTATACCATGAAATAAATTCGGAACAGAAAGGGGCAGTGGGAGGGGATGTGATGAGCAGGTCCTTTATACATTTATGTTTTATCACATATAAGCTCCAGACAAAACTGTCAAATATATTTATCTACAAGACTAAATGTTTCACTTTTTTAACTAGATTGAATAGTTTGAACTTAAAACTGTATGCAGAGTTATGCACAATTTTACAATAATAGTCTGCCAACTTGTCTGGTCAAAGTAATGAATTTGAAAAATCATGGTCAGGCTGTAATAGATTTATGATTTTAACTGACCATTTTAACTTTTTGATGTTAAATTTTATTTTCAAGCCTTAGGTAAGTAACTAATATAAAGACAGAATTTGAGTTTGTTTGCAGGGACAGGATGTGTGGTGATCCTCAAATATAAAAGGAAGCAAAATATGATATTATGAAATTTTACTGTCAGTTGGTGTGAGAGGAATAAAAGATTTTGCCAAGGAATAAAATTGTTTTCTTTGAATATTGTGGATATTGTTTTTTATATTTCAGGTGGTAGAAAAAGGGTCCGGTAACAGACCACAAATGGGAGAAGAAGTAATCATAAAATATGTGCCAGAAATTCCGGAACTTGAAACAGTGTTACCAGAGGAACATCTAGAGTTTGTGTTAGGAGATGGGGACGTTGTACAAGGTAAATTTCTCTGTTTTGCTAAAAAATTATTAGAATATATTTTTCCCGCAATCAGCTAATATTAATTATTCTCTCAAAATCAGTCCAATCTTAACCACTAATTAAAATTTTGTGACCTTGTGTCATACACAGCGGAAGACTTTTTATGTTGATCGGCAAATAGAATGATAATATCTGTCAAATTGATATCTTTTATATGTTACGTTTTGGATTAGATTGTCTGTCTCAAGGGTACCCTGCCCATTTGGCATTAACAAGGCTTGCCAACCGCAAATGTATGTGATATTTTTCTTCTTGCATATTCTATTATATTCAATCATATTGAAACAGATCATAACATTATAACATTTAGCTGAAGTATAAACTGTGTGAGTGAACAGAAAACTTGCTTATCATTACAAAATACAGTTAATAGACAAGGGGCATAATTTTGAAAACAATATTTTTGGAGTTATGCCCCTTTTTAACTTACAATTTTTAACAGACAAGCCTTTACACAGCATGCAGTGCTCTTGTGTTGTTTTACTCGACAGGAATATCTCATTTTGTCATTTGATCAACCAATTTCATTTTTTATATGCCGAAAGAATTTTGGGCATATTATGTTGTACCCCTTGGCGTCTGTACGTCCGTCTGTCCGTTAGCATAACTTAAGTTCCATTTGGCCCACAATATTCAACCTTCATAGGATGACTGTCCATATTAGGTAGAAGACCCCTGTTGATTTTGGGGTCACAAGGTCAAAGGTCACTATTACCTTAAAACTCAAAACAGTTCCCGAAGCATAACTTAAGTCCCATTTGGCCCACAGTGTTCAAACTTCATAGGATGATTATCCATATTGGGGAGAAGACCCCTATAGATTTTTGGGTCACAAGGTCAAAGGTCAAGGTCACTATGACTTTAAAACTGAAAACTGTTTCCGGAGCATAACTTGAGTCCTGTTTGGCCCACAGTGTTCAAACTTCATAGGATGATTGTCTATATTAGGTAGAAGACCCCTATTGATTTTGGAGTCACAAGGTCAAAGGTCAAGGTCACTATGACCTTAAAGCTGAAAACAGTTTCCGGAGCATAACTTAAGTCCCATTTGGCCCACAGTGTTCAACTTCATAGGATAATTGTCTATATTAGGTTGAAGACCCCTATTGATTTTGAGGTCACAGATCAAAGGCCAAGGTCACTATGACCTTACAACTGAAAACAGTTTCCAGAGCATTACATTAGTCCCATTTGGCCCACAATGTTCAAACTTAATAGGATGATTATCCATATTGGGTAGAAGACCCCTATTGATTTTAGGGTAACAAGGTCAAACATCAAGGTTTCTATGACCTTAAAACTGAAAACAGATTCTGGAGCATAACTTAAGTTCCATTTGGCCCACAGTGTTCAAACTTCATAGGGTGATTGTCCATATTGGGAAGAAGACCGCTATTGATTTTTGGGTCACAAGGTCAAAGGTCAAGGTCACTATTACCTTAAAACTGAAATCAGTTTTCGGAACATAACTTAAGCTTCATTTGGCCCACAGTGTTCAAACTTCATAGGATGATTGTCCATATTGGGTAGAAGACCCCTAGTGATTTTAGGGTCAAAGGTCATGGTCACTATTACTTTAAAACTGAAAACAATTTCCAGGGCATAACTTAAGTTCTATTTGGCCCACAATATTCAAACTTCATAGGATGACTGTTCATATTAGGTAGAAGACCCCTATTGATTTTGGGGTCACAAGGTCAAAGGTCAAGGTCACTATTACCTTTAAACTGAAAACAGTTTCCCAGGTATAACTTAAGTTCCAATTGGACCACAATATTCAAACTTCATAAAAGGATTATTATTTGAAGGAGGTAATACTTTATTTAATTCCAATGTCTTACAAATGCTTCTTTACTGGAAAAAAAATCACTTTCGGGCATATAATTGTCTGCCTAGCGGTGCTCTTGTTCATTTCATTATCTCACTTTTAAATGCATATAACATAGAAAATAGAATAAAAGTAGGTGTCCATAAGGACTATCATAAACAAAAGTTTTATTTTTGACTCTCAGAATCGTTTATTCTTTTTTAACTTTTATTTGCAGCCTTGGATCTTGCTGTAGCACTGATGAATGTAGGAGAGACAGCTATTATAATATCAGGATACAAATATATGTATGGAGAATTAGGCCTGTAAGTATAAATAGGGAGGGTGTGTTTGACTTTCCCTCGGTCCAGCCTTAAATGAGCCCGTCCAGACTCAAATCTACTAGGGCCGATTGGTTATAGATTGATTTTGTGATCTTTGATACATTTGTTTCTATAATAGGAAAATATGCTGTTATTAACTTAAAGAACAGGTTATATTTGCTATTAAAAATAATATGAGAAAATGTTATTTCCTAATTGATGTGAAACTAATTTAATTTCTTCTGTTATTTATAGAGATGACTTGTATACAAGGCCTCTGGCTGAATAGTTATTGACTGAGAATCAATTTTATAGGTGTCTTTCACTTGTTATTTTTATGCCCCCTGTTCCATAGATCAGGAGTGCATATTGATTTTGATCTGTCTGTCTGTCTGTTTTGTTACAAAACTTTAACCTTGATCATACTACAGAGGTACTTTCACTTTACTTTTACATGTATATTCTTTTTTAATTTTTTAGCTCACCTGTCACAAAGTGACAGGGTGAGCTTTTGTGATCGCTTTTCGTCCGGCGTCCGTCCGGCGTCCGTGTGTCGTCCGGCGTCCGTCCGTAAACTTTTACTTTAAATGACATCTCCTCATAAACCACCAAGCCAATTTCATCCAAACTTCACAGGTGGTCACCTTTAAAAATTGTTCAAAGAATTTAATTCCATGCAGAACTCTGGTTGCCATGGCAACCAAAAGAAAAAACTTTAAATATCTTCTTTTAAAAAACTATAAGAGCTAGAGCTTAGATATTTGGCATGACATCTTCTAGTGAGTGTCTACCAAGTTTGTGCAAATAAAAGCCCTTGGGTTAAATTGGCCCTGGGGGTCATTGATTTTCCCTATATGCATATAGTAAAAAATTAAAAAATCTTCTTTTAAAGAACCCAAAGAGCTAGAGCTAAGATATTTAGCATGAAACATGTTCTAATGGGTGTTTACCAAGTTTGTTCAAATAAAAGCCCTGGGGTCAAAATTGGCCCCGCCCCGGGGGGGTCATTGATTTTCCTATATGCATTTAGTAAAAACTTAAAAAATCTTCTTTTAAAGAACCCAAAGAGCTAGAGCTAAGATATTTAGCATGAAACATGCTCTAATGGGTGTCTACCAAGTTAGTTCAAATAAAAGCCCTGGGGTCAAAATTGGCCCCGCCCCGGGGGGTCATTGATTTTCCTATATACATATAGTAAAAACTTAAAAAATCTTCTTTTAAAGAACTCAAAGAGCTATGGCTAAGATATTGAGCATCAAACATGTTCTAATAGGTGTCTACCAAGTTTGTTCAAATAAAAGCCCTGGGGTCAAAATTGGCCCCGCCCCAGGGGTCATTGATTTTCCCTATGTGCATATAGTAAAAACTTAAAAAATCTTCTTTTAAAGAACCAAAAGAGTTAGAGCTAAGATATTTAGCATGAAACATGTTCTAATAAGTGTCTACCAATTTTGTCCAAATAAAAGCCCTGGGGTCAAAATTGGCCCCGCCCTGGGGGGTCATTGATTTTCCCTATATGCATATAGTAAAAACTTAAAAAATCTTCTTTTAAAGAACTCAAAGAGCTATTGCTAAGATATTTAGCATGAAACATGTTCTAATAGGTGTCTACCAAGTTTGTTCAAGTAAAAGACCAGGGGTCAAAATTGGCCCCGCCCCAGGGGTCATTGATTTTCTTTATATGTGTATAGCAAAATCTTTGGAAAAACCGAAATAGCTAGAGTTTAGATATTAAGCTAAAAACATCTTCTAGTAAGTGTCTACAAAGTTTGTTCAAATAAAAGCCCTGGGGTCAAAACTGGCCCGGCCCCAGGGGTGTCATTGTTTTTAACTATATGTGTATAGTAAAAACTTAAAAAAAATCTTCTTTTAAAAAGCCCAATGAGCTAGAGCTTAGATGTTTAGCATGAAACATCTTCTTATGGGTGTCTACCAAGTTTGTGCAAATAAAAGCCCTTGGGTTAAATTGGCCCTGCAACGTTTGGGGGGGGGGGGGGGGTTGTTGGGGCCTATATACAGGTGAGCGACCTCAGGGCCATCATGGCCCTCTTGTTTCTAATATTTTTTTCTTTTTCTTTTTTTTTCAGACAGCCTGATATACCTCCTCGGAGTAACTTTAAGTTAACTGTAGAATTATTAACAAACAAAGGACCTTTAGATTATCCAGCAATGGACTTCGGAACTAGATTTTCATTAGCGTAAGCATTTATTTATATGCATATATATCACAAACAGTGTCATATTTTAACCTATTTCCACATAGAAATGCTCCTGGACCACATGGAAGCCTCTAAATTTAAATGTAATATTAAGATATTTCCATAGTGAGGACTTTTACTTAGTATCACCTTTTAGGCTTTTACTGAAGAATTTATTTAACAAGTAGATATAAACACATGTGTGGTAATTAATTGATTAATTGGTAACAAACATGTTAAACAATGAGCCCAGTCAAAAGAATTTAGGACCAGGAAACCACAAGGTATTCAGGCTAGTGATTGGCAATGTCGTCCTGCCCAAATAGGTTTAAACAAGCCAAAAATGTTGCAAAATTAACATATGATCTACAAGTACAAAATAAAGGTTCATGTATATGAAAAACTTGGTTAACTACAAAAGCTTTTAGTAACTTATTATGTATTCTTGACTTTAAAGCAGCAGGCCCCCATATTTCTGTAAATATTTTAGAAATGCAAGATTATGTAATTTGTAAAATTGTTTTCAAATGTATGATTTATCCTAGCTGAAGACACTTACTATTCACATAGATGCATAAATTACCTATAACTTGTTAAAATATGCATAAAAATCTTGAATATTAACCAGGTTGAATTTTGGTAATGTCAATGGTAAATTTTGTCATATTTTGCGTAAATCATTCAAAGTTTCACCTCAAATGTAAATATTGATTAATTGATTGATTGATTGATAAAGAATGTAATACATTTTATGTATTTTGATATTCAGAAAGAAGAAGAAAGATCGAGGAAATTATTTACTTGTCAAAAGGAAAGAGTATTTCCCAGCATTGAATTCCTATACAAAGTAAGTTCATACATTTCTTTAATACTTATTCGTTATAAGTATGCCATCAGTATTAACTAATAAATGAGAATTGAATTTTCAGGGTGCGAATTTCGTCATGCTTTGTTCATGAAATTGTTTGCAAAATGTGCAAAAATCATGCACTATTGTCAAAAACATTCACAGTGTTTTACAGAATGCAATCCTGCATCCTAGAAGCATAAATTTACTTGCGGGACTTGTATAAAATAGAAGTCTGCATACGTTAGTATGCCCATAAGATAATTACAAAGACTGAATGAAATGCATTTGCAAACAGAAATTAAGATAAACTTTCTAACATGTCAAATCTTTTTGTGCCTATTTTTGTTAGTATTTCAAAACAATCAAAATTATGATAAAATAAATTTTAACTTGTTAAAATATTCAATTATACAATGTAAACGGTGAAAAAGTGGAAAAGGGATAGCATTGGCAACCATTTGGCCCTGCATGATAGGAAGGGCACTTAATGGGTTTGAATAACTAGAGTCTCTGTTGGTTTTGACCCGTGGTGTTTATTTATGTTTGTTACACCTGAGGTATGCCAAAATCATCTTTCCTGTTTCAACGCCATATGACCAAAATTTTCTTGGCATGCCGTAAGACCAATCCAAACAAACATACAAATGAAATATAAACAGCTGTTTATTGTCAAATATTAACAACATCCTGCAAAAGTGCTCACAATCATCATCATCACAGGTGCTCTCTACTTTTATGCCCCCACAATGTGGGAGCATATAGCGTTGCACTTGTCCGTCCGTACGTCCCGAAATCTTGTGAACGCAACTCCTCTTAAACTGGATGGCAGATTTTGCTTAAACTTACAGGGATGAACAACCTTAATGTGTAGATGGTAGTAAAGGAAGGAATTTTTGCTGCGACCAAATTTAACAGAATTATGGCCCTTTGTTGATTTTTTCACTAGCTACTATCTAGAAATTTTGTGAACGCAACTCCTCTTAAACCGGATGGCAGATTTTGCTTTAACTTACAGGGATGAACAACCTTAGGGTGTAGATGGTAGTAAAGGAAAGAATTTTTGCTGCGACCAAATTTAAAAGAATTATGGCCCTTTGTTGATTTTTTCACTATATACTATGTAGAAATTTTGTGAATGCAACTCCTAAACCAGATGGCAGATTTTGCTTAAACTTCCAGGGATGAACAACCTTAATGTGTAGATGGTAGTAAAGGAAGGAATTTTTGCTGCAACCAAATTTAACAGAATTATGGCCCTTTGTTGATTTTTTCATTATATACTATGTAGACATTTTGTGAACGCAACTCCTCTTAAACCGGATGGCAGATTTTGCTTTAACTTCCAGGGATTAACAACCTTAATGTGTAGATGGTAGTAAAGGAAGGAATTTTTGCTGCGAACAAATTTAATAGAATTATGGCCCTTTGTTGATTTTTAGTTTTCAACTTGTGGCGCATGTAGTCCAAAAAATATTTGACCTAGAGTCATAACATTGACAGAACAGTGGCGTGTGGGGGCATCAGTGTCCTATGGACACATTTCTAGTTGTTTTATGAAAATGATTGGGAAAATTGGTGTGATTTTGAGTAATTTTCCTGTACGGAAGATGCTTATGATCATTCACTTCAATAATGATAGTGCGAAAATCTCTATATTTTGTCATAATTGCCCATCTTAGAATTAGCAAGTTTTGTCTTTTCTAATTGGACCTTAGGTGAAATTTCAACACCTTTTCCTTTAATTAACATCTTTGTCCATAGCTTGCTAATCATGAACTTTGATATCTATACAGTGAAACTTTGTTAAAGCAGACTCGTTGAGACCTTGACAAATTGTATGATATATCCGAGGTTTCTTAATAATTACCAAAATAAGGAATACTGTAAATATCTTAAAAACAATCAATGATAAGCACACTTAACTATATAACAAACAGGTTATAATATTACTTGCAACATGGCTCGAAAATTATCATTGTTTAGAATTCTTAGTTTAGTCATAATTATTGTATATTCATAATCTATTAATACACGGAAGAAATTCTCAATTACATATGTTTGTTCTGATGATATTTTAATCTTAATATCATGAGTGAGACTTAAAAAAGTGTTGGAGCACCACACTAAATACTGTATATCAGACAAGGCGTTTGAATTAATAAATCCTTAAATCTCGCCTTTTCATCCAACAAAATATACTTTAAAACATCTAATTCATCTTTTCACACCCATTTGTATAAGAAAAGAATGAAAAATGTAAGAATTGGCGAAGAAGGCAATATTTTTCAACTTTTTGATCATAATTTCTGCAAACTTCTATAGGTACTGCTCCAACACTGTATTGAGAAATGGTGAAAATAAGGTCATTTTTCACAATTTGCTATAAACAACTAAATAACAGTGGTTACAATGTATTTGGTAAATGCTTGATTTTGATCTTGATACACAATGTTTTATTACTGTCTGAGTTTACGCTATAAGTGAGTATGATATAAAGACAAATTGTTATATAAGATGAAAAATGGAGAAATATCAGGACCTAGCGGTAGTATTCCTTATAAAGGAGTGTAAGCTGTATTCAAGTTCTCCTTAAATGAACCCATTTAACTCAAGGTTAGAAAAAAATAATATCTTGTTATTTTCTCATGTAACCATCCTGTTCACAAGTTTTTCAATCTTTTTGCTTTGTCATGTACTGTATGAACTTATGGTCCTTGCCAGGAAATAATTAAACACGTACGGTTAGTGTTGAATATAACCTAGAGGTTTTCCCAATCCTAAAGTTAATTACATGTATTTATTGTGATAAAAGATATGAAAATAAAAATACTAAAACTTCTGAAATTTTATATGGCTTTTTATTTTGATTGAATATATTTTCTTTTGAATAAAGTTAAAAGTTATAAAAAGACTTGAACTAGGTTATGGAAGCCTTCCAACTGAAAACCACAAGTATATACACAATTTAGTAATAAATGCAAAATAAATTTTGATCAAATAAATATCATTTTATTTACAAATAACAATAGATATTTTTGAACTGGGCTTATCTATAGGTACAAACTTTTGCCATTATAGCTTCACTGTGCATTACCCGTCACAATAGATTTGTCAACCTGTTGCACTTATTTTTTGAAGCTGTTACTTTAAAAGTTTGTTTGTACCTGATAACTGATTAGCTGGGGAAAAAACTCAATATTCTTTATTCCTGATAAAGTCTATTTACCTAGATTAAACTCCATGACCTCTCTTGGATCTATGGCTGATCACATTGGTTCAAACCCCGTCAGAGGTGCAGGAGCAAGAAACTTTACATTAGTTGCTTTCTTTGTTGTTGGATTTATTCAGTCAAGCTCAAAATATTAAATTTTAATTTTCCTTTTCACAAGAAAATGATGTTTGCTGAGTACTCATTACTGTAATATTCTTCCCCAGATGTGTTTGATTTAAGAAATAAGAAAAGAGTTGAGGTAGGCTTCCGCTAGGCAATGGCTGTTGTTTTGATAATTACAGCTTTGAAATTTGAACCTTGTGCCCAATTCTAGTCACAGATTTGAATTTTGATATCAGTTGACCTATATTTTTACCAAAAGCCTGCTAGTTATTAAAATTTTCTGTCCCTTGTCATTGACAGGTTACTCATCATCATGTGAGTTATATAGGGTCGTAATGGCTTTCTTGTATAATGTAATGTCATTATGTTTTATATTTTTAGAGCTAGTAAGATTGTAGACCCAACATTAGGATGTGTATTTAACAATGTATCCCCGGAGAAACTTCAAGAATTATTAGAATTCCGAGCCATTGTTCACTGTAATGCAAGTCTTGCTAATTTCAAGGTATGTAAATTGTTAATAAGAATTAAATTGGTGATAGAAAATTTAAAAAGTTGTTAATGCCTTTGTGAATGATATTAAACCATTGAAAAATATTTATATATTAGACATATTGCAGCTTAATTTAAATCATTTGTAATTCAGAAGAAAAATATACCAAAAAGAAGACTTTTTATACATCAAAAGGCATGTGTCATTGGAACATATAATAAAGTATATCAGCTTGGGGCAACTAAAACAGAAAGATATACAAAAGATAATTAATATAGATAGATACTCAGAATTGAAAATTGAAACTCGTATTTTTAGCTCACCTGAGCACGAAGTGCTCAAAGGTGAGCTTTTGTCATCACTCTGCGTCCGTCGTGCGTCGTGCGTCGTGCGTCGTGCGTCCTTCAAAAAATGGCGTCAAACTTTTCAAACAACATCTCCTCCTAAACTACATGGCCAATTGCAACCAAACTTTACAGAAATGATCCTTAGGTGGACCCCTTTCAAAGTTGTTCAAAAATTTAAATTCCATTCAAAACTCTGGTTGCCATGGCAACCATTAAGAAAAACTTAAAAAATCTTCTTCTAAAAAACCGTAAGAGCTAGAGCTTAGATATTTGGCATGAAACATCTTCTAATGAGTGCCTACCAAGTTTGTTCAAATCAAAGCCCTAGGGTCAAAATTGGCCCCGCCCCAGGGGGTCATTGATTTCCCCTATATGCATTTAGTAAAAACTTAAAAAATCTTCTTTTAAAGAACTCAAAGAGCTAGAGCTAAGATATTTAGCATGAAACATGTTCTAATGGGTGTCTACCAAGTTTGTTCAAATAAAAGCCCTGGGGTCAAAATTGGCTCCGCCCCGGGGATCATTGATTTTCCTTATATGTGTATAGCAAAAACTTAAAAAATCTTCTTTAAAAAAACCCAAATAGCTGGAGTTTAGCTATTAAGCATGAAACATCTTCTAGTGAGTGTCTACAAAGTTTGTTCAAATCAAAGCCCTAGGGTCAAAATTGGCCCCGCCCCGGGGGTCATTGATTTTCCTTATATGACTGTGTATAGCAAAAACTTAAAAATCTTCTTTGAAAAAACCCAGATAGCTAGTTTTTAGATATAAAGCATGAAACATCTTCTAGTGAGTGTCTACCAATCTTGTTCAAATAAAAGCCCTAGGGTCAAAATTGGCCCCGCCCCAGGGTGTCTTTGATTTTCCCTATATGCATATAGTTAAAACTTAAAAAATCTTCTTTTAAAGAACCCAAAGAGCTAGAGCTAAGATATTTAGCATGAAACATCTTCTAATGAGTGTCTACAAAGTTTGTTCAAATAAAAGCCCTAGGGTCAAAATTGGCCCCGCCCCCGGGGGTCATTGATTTTCCCTATGTGCATATAGTAAAAACTTAAAAATCTTCTTTTAAAGAACTCAAAGAGCTAGAGCTAAGATATTTAGCATGAAACATGTTCTCATGGGTGTCTACCAAGTTTGTTCAAATAAAAGCCCTGGGGTCAAAATTGGCCCCGCCCCGGGGGTCATTCATTAGTTTGACTTTTTTTTTTTAGATATATACATATTATATATATACACATATATATTTAATATTTATATATATATATAAATATATATATATATATATAAATATATATATATATATATATATATACATATATATATACATATTATGATATATATATATATATATATATATATATATATATACATACATATATATATATATATATATATATATATATATATATACATGCATACATATACAACCAAGTTTGTTCAAATAAAAGCCCTGGGGTTTAAACTGGCCCCGCTCCAGGGGCCTATATACAGGTGAGCGACTTTGGGCCATCATGGCCCTCTTGTTGTGCTATTCTTAGCTGCTTTGAGTGAAAAGTAATTTTGGGTCAACTGTAGTAACTTATATGAAATAAAGAAGAACTTACAGTTTTGTGTTCAACCTTTTATGTATGTACAAATGTGAATAGCTTAAGAAAATGTAACAAAAGATTACTGCATGTTTAGAAATTGTTACTCTTTCAGATGAATCCATGAGCTCCACTTTTTTTTCAAAGAAAAAAATTAATTGGTATTTATCTCATTTAGAATTATTATTCTGGTTAAACAGAATAAGGGAATGATCTGAAATTTTGCACACAAGTTATTGGTCTAGACCAACATCGAAAAGGAATATTATTGAAAAATAGTTTCCAGTCCCGTCCTGTCAAAAAACTTGCGTGGAGTTCCTTTAAATAACTTTGTTGACATTTCAGTTGGAGTCATTTGATGCGGCAGAAAAGTCTGCACAGGAAGCGTGTTTACTGTGGCCATCATATAGCAAGGCTCATTGGAGACTCGCACAGGTTGGTGCACTAATTTTCTTGAAAACTTTGAAAAAGTAGTTGAAAGTAAAATATTGGGAAGTGAACAAAGAAAATAATTTATTAATTCCATTCAGCACTTACAGTTCATGTAAATCACCAAAAAGAGGTCAAAATATGCAAAGATAGCCCTTACTGTGGTAGTAACTCAGTAGAAGTATGGTGATAAATACTGCAAAATCAGTCTTTAACCGTATGCAACATGTAAATGATTACATTTTACTTATCTCGTAACATTTTCAGGCCCAGGAAAAGCTAGGAAAGTTAGAAGAGACGATAAAAAACTACAAACTGGCCCTTAAGTTTGACACAAACAATACAAATAGCAAAGTAAGTAAAAATACGAGGAGCAAAGTAAGTAGAACTCTTTGAAGGTTGAGGCATAGGTCAAGGTTGATATCACAAATTGATGAACAAAAGAAATCTACACAGTAATAATTTTATATATCAAAAAAGGTAGTGACCAACTTCCCATAATTTATGTTTTACTTAAAGGGACTCCCTTGACGTTTAAAAGCCTAAAAACATAACATTTTAATTTCGTACATAAATGAGCTGGGGCACTTTAAACAGAAATATATGCAAAAATAGTTAAGAAATATACTTTGAAATAAATTGAAAATCGTATTTTTATGCTTTTCTTAGCCCGATTTGAGTGAAAAGCGTTTAAACCCTTTTCATTTTGAGTCCTTTTTTACAATTTGAATAAGTGGATAAACAAAGTGCGCAAATGATCTGAAATTTTGATTAGTGGTCTAAACCTACATCAAATGGTACATTTATCTGGAAAAAATATTTTCAGTCCCATCATGTCAAAAAACCTCAGTGGAGTCCCTTTAAATTGTCTTTTAAATCTTCCTTTTGTTTATTCCTTCATTATCCTGGCTCTAATAGTACTATGAGGCACTGAGAATAGTCCAGTTAGGTGTCCTACTGACAGCTTTTGCTAACTTGACTATTTGAACAATAGGGAGAGCTATTGTACTCACCCAGGCTTCAATGTTGGTGTGACTCGTCGGTTAAGTTTTTGCATGCAAGTTGGTTCATCTAAAACTACTGAAGGGAATGAATTGAAACCTTTGCACACTTACTTGAGAGAATAATAGGAAGTCACTATCCAAGGCCTATAACTCTTGACATGGATTTTAAATGGAGTATGGCCCTACTGAACATAAAAAATTCTTAATTATTCAGACTCTTTTTATTAGGAATAGTCTAGTAAGCTGTCCTACCGAGAACTCTTGTTTTATTATAGTATTGCTTTACAAATTTTATTGTACAATATATGTAGGAAATTTTCATCATTAAGTGTTAGTTAATTTATGTTTGAAAAAAGTTTCAACATATTAAGCATTTTTGCGTTAACTACTGTTTTTTTAACATAGGTTGTTTTTTTTATAACAAATGTCTCAAATCTAACATTCTTATTACAAACATGTGAAATATTATTTCAGCTATTTCATGGGGAGTTAGAGAGATTGACAAAGATTTTAAAGAAGAGCAAGGCATCTGAGAAAGAAATGTATTCAAAAATGTTTTGGGGGTCTAACCCACCTAATATGGATAATAAACCAATATTAAAACGAAAAGAAGAATCATTGGTAAGGACTATCTTGTAATTTTGAAAATTATGTGTGTAGAATAATTTTTTTATGACAAATTGTTGCGCATGAGTGTAATAAAGGCATTTATATGATGAAAACTTTGTTACACTAGTGTAATCATGTGATCTAATAAGGGGAGCGGTGGCCTAGTGGTTAAGGTGTCCGCCTCTCAACCTAGAGGTCATTGGTTCGAGCCCTAATTGGGTCACAAGTGCCTGCCTCTCAACCCAGAGGTCATGGGTTTGAGCCCTAATTGGGTCTCTTCACAAGACACAAGTACTGGTTGGTTCCAGGAAGCTGACTCGAAAGTGATTAATATAAGTTGCAAGAACTTGTTTTGCAATCAAGCTAAAATAAATATGTTAAAACCAAAAATTACACTAGTGTAATATAATTTTGACATAATGTCATTTGCATTATGTGAGAACATAAGTG